AACCTAATGCCAGAAAATCAGCTTCCCTAGTTAATGAGTTATATCTTTGTTATGCCTAAAGACTGTAGGGCTGACGGAAGGTCCAGTCAGCGTGCAAAAGTTAGAATATGGGTACACCCGCAGCGAGTCACGTGAGGAAAGGAGCAGCATGGTACTGTCAGAAAAGTGGGTGCGTGCAGGCCAGCTAGAAGTTGTGGTGATCCCACGTGTCCAATCCCTGCTCCAAATCGCGTAAAGCACTCTAGAAGGTGAGCAATGTGACATAAAGAAGGATTTGCACGGATAATTCCACACAACTCACCAGATTCAGTAATGATAACCTTAATCTATCTCACTATAAATTGGGTGCTCCTCTCTTATTAAGGAACTAGCTACTCTCTCTCAAATATATATATAGCATTATCTATGTAATGTCATTTGTAAGTGAGTCCGCTAAAGCGACCTGACCCTTATCATTAATACAAAACATCAGTGGACGTAGGACTTGCTTCCTTAGCATCGAACCACTTTAAAAGCCGTTCCCATTGCATATTCTCATTTTTTTGCATTCACGTGTGTCTTCTGGACCAGCTCAGCGTTTCACACGTGCGTTCGTGTGGTGTCAAATCACGCATTAAGAATCTTCTATCTGAACTTTTCTTGCAGGTCCCATGCTTCCATTGACGAATCAGGGAACAAAGACTTTAGGCTCGAAAAGAAATTCAGTGAATAATATGATGACGCAATATAGTTGATATATGTTTGAAAAAATAAACACTTAAGCTACATTTTCAAGAACCATAAAATTACGCTCTCAATAGTGCAACTGTCAGCGTGCATTCACACAAAGACAATTTCAGAATTTAATTGAGCTGCAAAATACTAATTTGGGCGTTTTCCATAACAATTAGAGATGTAAAAAGCAGTTTTATAAGAAACAATAGCTATCCATTAGGTTAATTTAGCCAAAAGTAAATATAGTAAATTGTAGTTAGAAACTCTAAGAAAATGCAAGATGGTTCACATCACCCTATGGTGCTATTTACTTTCCCATTATCAAATGGCAATGGTACTGTGAAGTGTACTGTACCAAGTGAACAATCAGAACTTGTTGGGAGTTGGGTCTAACTCCTCACCCAAAAGGCCTTATTGAGTGGGAGGATTGCCCACCTCTTATAAACTTATTGGTTGAGCATGCCTAGTAGATATGAGATCTCAACACTCCCCCTCACGGTCAAGCCCATATGGTCCACTTGCCTATGAATAGAGGTAGTTTGGCAGCCTACACCTGGTCAATCACTCAGCTCAAATGGAGCTGGCTTGATACCATTTGTTGGAGTTGAGCTTAACTCCTCACCCAAAAGGCCTTATTGAGTGGGGAGGATTGCCCACTCTATAAACCCATTGGCTTGATATTGGAGTTCCAACTCGACTAAGCATGCTCAAGCATATGGTTTATAAGAGGGGTAACCTCCCATTCAACAAGGCTTTATGGGTGAGGAGTCAGACCACCAAATTCTATCATGGTATCAGAGCCCTGTTCAGTTGAGCTGAGCGCTTGACCAGCGAACTCCATCAACAAGTAGACCCCACATAGGGCTTGACCGTGAGGGGGAGTATGGAGTCCCACATCAATTAGGCATGCTCAAGCCTAATGGGGTCATCTCTATAAACCCATTGGCTTGAGCGTGCCCAGTCGATATGGGATCTACAACACTCCCCTTACGGTCAAGCCCATTGGTCTACTTGCTATGAATGGAGGTAGTTTGGCAGCCATCGCTGGTCAATCACTCAGCTCAAATGGGGCTGCCTTGATACCACTTGTAGGTTGGGCCTACTCCTCACCTAAAAGGTGTTAAGTGAAAGGATGTCCACCATGGTTGTTAGTATCCTACGATATGTGATACGTATCATATGATACGATTCGATATGGATCGCCAACGATACGTATCAAAGAGTGCCCATGAATGGGGGATTAACCCCATCTTAAACCCATTGGCTTGAGCGTGCCCAGTCGATAGGGATCTCCAACACTCCCCTTTACGGTCAAGCCCATATGGTCACTTGCCTATGAATGAGGTAGTTTGGCAGCCCACCGTGGTCAATCACTCAGCTCAAATGGGGCTGCCTCTGATACCACTTGTAGGTTTGGGCCTAACTCCTCACCTAAAAGCCTGTTAAGTGAGAGGATGTCCACCATGGTTGTTAGTATCCTACGATATGCGATACGTATCATATGATACGATTCGATATGGGTCGCCAACGATACGTATCAGAGAGTGTATCCTAAACCATTTGATACGTTGATATGTATCCTACGATACAATACATATCTGTTTGTATCCTTAAAAATATCGATACAAATCGATATGACTTTATTAATTTGAGTCAAAGGTCCAAAAAAAATTTCAAACCGAATCTGGGTCACCCAACCCGGTTCACTACAACCTGCCCAGATTTACCCATTATACATAGAGAAAGTGAAAAGGAAGATTTGTTGCCCATTTTGCATGATAATAATAACATAAGTGGAGTTATAGATATTGACATTGATCTTGAAAATGATATGAATGGTTGAGAGGAAATTATATAAATTATTAATTTTGTGATTAATTTTGATTATGTAATACCATAATTTAAAGTCAATAATACTACAAAATTTGTTAATTAATCGTGGGGATGATATTAATTTTTAGAAAAATCTTATTAATTTTTTTTGAAAAAGGTGTATCCTGCGATACGATACACGATTCGAAAAATTAGGTTTTCGATACACGATTTGACAACCATGTTGCCCACTCTTATAAACCCATTGGCTTGAGCGTGCCTAGTCGATATGGGATCTCCAACAAGAACCAAAATAAGATGACTTCCTTGGAGCATATTGTCAGATGACAAAATCATTAGATAATATTGTAAGATGACAAAATTGTAGGACAATATTGTAACAATTTGAATGTCTTGGAGTACATAGTAAGCCGTAATGGGAGATGATTGATATCAAAACCTCATGTTAACCGATATGCCACACTGCGACTCAATGCATGAGACTCAATCCATGTGAGAATGTTCAAATTGGATTAATATTTGTCATATGCCATCTTTTTCCATAATTGGACAAAGTACTCTATATACAGGTTAAAATTTGGCAGAAATTTACCTCCAAATCTTTTGAGTAGAACGCGCGTTAATGCAGCAGGATCCGATCGTAGCATGAGTTCAAAACCTTAATTCCATGAGATGTTGCTTATAAATCCAACCACTCAGGTGCATCGGGAAATAGTAACAAGTTTATGAATCCAAACAATGTTATGTATGTGGGGCTGATAGTAACAAGTTCATAGATCCAACCACATGCACAGGGGTGCATTTGGATGGTAGTACCAAATTTGATGAAAAGAAATAGAGGCAACGAAAGCAGACACACAACACACAGAGGAGAGAACCCAGGCAACCCGGTGCGAACTCCCCTCAAAACCACAAAAACAAATTTTTTATTAAGATTTGTGTTATCTGCCATGCAAGCGCACCTGTCATGGCAAAGGTCGGATGACAAAACCAGAACTCAACCCCCTTAAAAAGGGCTTCTTTATCCCAGTACATCTCTTGCGTCCATCATCACAGCTTCATCCCATTTCGCTCCTCATTTTAATAGATTATACAACCAAATTATGCGCTACATCACTGGCTGAAGAATATCCATCAACCACTGCCTCCATAGAACCTCCCCATGCGGCTAAAAACCTAACGGTAAAAAAAAAAAAAAATAACCACCATATACGTCAAAAAACTCTCGGACGCAAATAATTAGAACTTAAAACACTATTTAGAAAGAAAAAGATAGCGTTTCAAGCTGACATATAAGTTATCTAAACAAGAATCTGCGACTTAAGTCTTAAGACGAGACTGCGTCAAAACTCGAGATAATAAAGATCGTTTATCTTTTGATGAAGTCAAACTCAATCAATTAAGTATCCAAAACAAGACTCGATTTAGGAAGCAAATTCAGAAGCATCATGAATAATCGAGAAATATCATTGTGTAATATACAGATCTTTCTATACAAGATAGGAGTCATGATTGGCAAATCGACTTATAATGCAAATAATCTGTGAAATCAGCCAACAAACTATTAATTAAATAAATTGTTTAACATTCTATGATAGAGAAAAAAAAAATTACCTCGCACAAATAAAGCGCAACGGCAGAAGATTTGGGAGACTTTATTAAAAGGCCATTTGAAGTTAAAATTTAATTAAAAGGCTACATAGTTGTAAATATTAACTAAATAGTCTTATTTTTTATTAAGCTTAATTAAACATGATTAGAGGTTAATTAGGATTAATGAATAATTGTGTAATCTTTTAAAAATTATAATATAATATGTCTCTAAAGAGTCGAAATTCTTGCAAACAAACTCAAACACCGGTTTTTTTTTCACTTGAAATATTGGACTGGTTTATCAAGCGGTCCGATTGGACCGGGCAGTTCATACTGTTCTTCCAATTCAATGGCTGTTCATAATGGGTTATTAAGTATAATTGGGTTTCATATTGACTCGGACCGGATATGTGACCGGGTCTCGATCCAGCCGGTTGGATTGACCGGTCCAGTCCGGTTTTTAAAATCATGCATAAAAGTTTGTACATTTAGCGTTATTTTACCTAAAATGAATAATATTATGAATAGTTTTACAAATGTAAGCTTAAAATAAATAATGCGACAAATATGCATGATTACCCCTATTAAATTATATGAATTAATTTGTATGAAAAGTTTGTATACATAGGTTCGCACTTTTATTTATATGATATTTATTTTCCAGATTGATTATGTGACTGTGAATATTATTTTTCTTCGCAATATCCAAGAAGCTCAAACGATGACTGATGACAGCAACAGGAAGTGATTCAAGACGTTCAGTGACAAGATTTTCTTGAAGATTACAATCATTTCCAAAGCCAAACACATTGCAGGCATTTTATGCTCTGCTTATTTGATAATATTGAACACATTGCAATAAGGGGTTGCATAATATAATCTGCAAATATGAATAGCTTAAGCAGAGATTAATGGGGGCATATTAAGAGCTATTCCCACTGCATATGTCGTTCAACATCCATGTCAGATACGTTAATAGTGGTCTTTGCATCAGGGCCTATTGGATCATACAATGAATCCTCTGAAAATTCAGTGGACAATGATTTCCAGTGTAGACTTGGTTCCCATTCTGCTTCTCTCAGGACCTTCAGAATTTCTTTAACAACAATCTTGCTCGCCTCTGGTGAAAAGTGGATTCCATCCCTGCACAAGAATCAGCCAACAGTCCAAGTGAATAGCCTTACTGAAGCAATCAGTTTATGCAAGACTTCATTACTTAGCATCATCGAGATACATTAGAAATCAACATGTAAACAATATTTGAGATAATGTGTGGCGGCAAATCTAGGTGCTAATTGGAACTCGTGGTATCAGAGACTATTATCGCGACACAAATGTCACTTACGTGAAGCAAGTAGTTAACCAGTCATCTCGTTGCTGCAGTGCAGTCCAAAGATCAATGCAATTCACATCCATCTCGTAGCAGAGCTGCAAACAGGCTTCTGAATATACTCGGCAGTCCTCATGTGTTCGGTTTACTCTTCCAAATTTCCCACTGGGTTTAAAGGTTAAGAAATTACTATTACAGCAAAGTGTGCAAGAGAAACCAAGAAAAAGAAACAGAAGTAAGCATTGATGCACCTCAGGGTTTCCTTAATTTGTTGCTCGTTGATAGGAGGACTGCTAAGAAAGATGATGCGCGTCGTTGGAGAAAGGCTCTGGTAACCAGAAAGTTGTATGTCAGAATATGCATCAAGTAAAGATAGTCAAGAGGAAGAAATCTAATTTCCACCAGGCAGTGCTCAAGGGTGAAAAAATTGTCTAACCCTTCAAATTATACTACAAAAGACTCACAATGAAGCTCTGAGCTAGAAAATTTAAGTCTGATTTTAATATGAACAAACTGGTGTTATATGTATTGATCAAAGCTGGACTTGAGAATTTTCATTCTATTAACAAAGTATTGATCAAATCTGGACTTTGCAAGATTACCTTGAGATGTAGAGCGATCTTCCTCATGTTTTCGATATACTCAGGCAAGGGAACATGGGGGCCTATGCCACTAGGGTGAGGGTGCATGGAGTCATTACCACCAAAATATACTATAACCAATGCAGGTTGTACAGAAGCTTCCTTGATTGATTGTAACATTACAACATTACATTAGATGTTAATGCCAATATCTATTAAAAATTAGTAATAATAATCTTTAAAACAAGAAGAAGATCTGAGTGGATTCGAACCAGAATCCTCTCAAAACCCAAATCTGGAAAAGTTGAGCGCTTCACCATTTTGAGCTTACAGATCTTTACAATCACAAGCACCCAAGAAGAATTATATTTCATTCAAACGATTTTACATTTCACAAAGGAAAAATAAGCATCGAACCTCAGAGAAATATAAGAACAAGATGGCCAAATGCTGCCATTGTTACTATGACCACTGCAAGTTCAATAACCGGGTAAACATTTTCATTGAAGTTGTTGATGCTGGGTTAGGCACCAACGAATTCTCACGTGCGTAACGTTAATTGGCTGTTAAGTACACGTGAAAATGGAGTATATAAAGCGAAATAAATGCAAAGAGAGTTTGTTAAGTGGTTACGGATGCTGAGTAGCAAGTCCTACGTCCACTGATTGTATGATGTTAGTGTGGGTCAGGTCGCGACTGCGGGCTGACTTACATAAGTTGAAAAAAGTAAAAATGTTTACAGGAGAGAGAGAGAGATTTTTTGTACGAAAAATGGGCCGAATCCCTTTATGAAGGGGTCTTCTTCATTTTATATCAAACTCAAGCGTTATAATCATTATTAAATCCATGGTTGGTGTGATTGTCAGGATAAATCGGCTTTAGTCCCATTTCCTTTCCCAAGCTGACATCGCATGACTTAGTAGGAAATGGACGCGTGTAAGCTCCATATCATTTGGCAGGTTTGACGTGTGGTCGTGTTGACGGGAGCAGGTCACCCTTCACGTGACTTTTCCATATCGATCCTTTATTTCGGGCATAACAAAGTTTCAAAGTGCCCGCACTCATACTAATGCCTGGTTTTATAAGAGACACATTAATATAGTCAAAATTACATAGAGAAAAAAGTGATAGCAAATTTCTCTTAAGGCACTAACAATTTAAAAATAGGCAGATAAATATCTTAACAAAGAGTGTATCATATCTAACTTATACAACAAAGCATATCCAAAACAACATAAAAATCAAAGCTACAAGAGGCATAAATAATGAAGAGAAGCAAATATTACCTCTCACAATAAGTAGTATAAAATGAAATAAGATATAAATACATGAATTAGCGAATGTGTCAAAATGCAACAGAGCAATAACAACAGTAAACATAGTGAGAACATAAAGTGGCTAAAATAAATCTGTTTTCATTATGAATAGAAGATCTATACTTGCCCCAAACAACTTCGTACAAGAAAAACCTCTGCTACTCATGTAGCTTTTTTATTTGAAATGCCGATGACTAAAATCACAAAAGATATAACCGCTGCCAAGGCCCCAAATAACTCAAAATCTGAAAGATTAGAAAACTCAAAAGCTCCCAAGCAAATTGACAGATCTGCAAATGTAGTGATGTACAACTTCACTTTTTCTCCAACACAAACTAATGCCAGAAAATCAGCTTCCCTAGTTAAGAGTTATATCTTTGTTATGCCTAAAGACTGTAGGGCTGACGTAAGGTCCAGTCAGCGTGCAAAAGTTAGAATATGGGTACACCCGCAGCGAGTCACGTGAGGAAAGGAGCACAGCATGCTACTGTCAGAATAGTGGGTGCGTGCCAGGCCAGCTAGAAGTTGTGGTGATCCCACGTGTCCAATCCCTGCTCCAAATCGCGTAAACACTCTAGAAGGTGAGCAATGTGACATAAAGAAGGATTTGCACGGATATCCACCAACTCCCAGATTCAGTAATGATAACCTAATCTATCTCACTATAAATTGGGTGCTCCTTCTTATTTAAGGAACTAGCTACTCTCTCTCAAGAATATATATGCATTCTCTATCTTGTACTGTCATTTGTAAGTGAGTCGCTAAAGCGACCTGACCCTTATCATTAATACAAAACACAGGGACGTAGGACTTGCTTCCTTAGCATTGAACCACTTTAAACGCGTTCCCATTGCATTATTCTCATTTTTCTTGCATTCACGTGTGTCTTCTGGACAGCTCAGCGTTTCACACGTGCGTTCCGTTGGTGTCAAAATACGCATTAAGAATCTTCTATCTGAATTTTTTGCAGGTCCCATGCTTCCATTGACGAATCAGGAACAAAGACTTAGGCTCGAAAAGAAATTCAGTGAATAATATGATGACGCAATATAGTTGATATAGTTTGAAAAAAAACACTTAAGCTACATTTTCAAGAACCATAACTTACGCTCTCATAGTGCATAACTGTCAGCGTCATTCACACACAGACAATTTCAGAATTTAATTGAGCTGCAAAAATACTAATTTGGGCGTTTCCATAACAATTAGTATGTAAAAAGCAGTTTTATAAGACACAATAGCTATTCCATTAGGTTTAATTTAGCCAAAAGTAAATATAGTAAATTGTAGTTAGAAACTCTAAGAAAATGCAAGATGGTCACATCACCCATGGTGGCTATCTTACTTTCCATTATCAAATGGCAATGGTACTGTGAAGTGTACTGTACCAAGTGAACAATCAGAAACTTGTGGAGTTGGGTCTAACTCCTCACCCAAAAGGCCTTATTGAGTGGGAGGATTGCCCACTCTTATAACTTATTGGCTTGAGCATGCTAGTAGATATGAGATCCAACACTCCCCCCACGGTCAAGCCCATATGGTCCACTTGCCTATGAATAGAGGTAGTTTGGCAGCCTACCGCTGGTCAATCAATCAGCTCAAATGGAGCGGCTCTGATACCATTTGTTGGAGTTGAGCTTAACTCCTCACCCAAAAGGCCTTATTGAGTGGAGGATTGCCCACTCTTATAAACCCATTGGGTTGATATGGAGTTCCAACTCGACTAAGCATGCTCAAGCCTATTGGTTTATAAGAGGGGGTAATCCTCCCATTCAACAAGGCTTTATTGGGTGAGGAGTCAGACCACCTCAAATCTATCATTGTATCAGAGCCCTGGTTCAGTTGAGCTGAGCGCTTGACCAGCGAACTCCATCAACAAGTATGACCCCACATATGGGCTTGACCGTGAGGGGGAGTATTGGAGTCCCACATCAATTAGGCAGGCTCAAGCCTAATGGGCATCTCTTATAAACCCATTGGCTTGAGCGTGCCCAGTCGATATGGGATCTCACAACACTCCCCTTTTACGGTCAAGCCCATATGGTTACTTGCCTATGAATGGAGGTAGTTTGCAGCCATCGCTGGTCAATCACTCAGCTCAAATGGGGCTGCCTGATACCACTTGTAGGTTGGGCCTAACTCCTCCCTAAAAGGCCTGTTAAGTGAAAGGATTGTCCCCATGGTTGTTAGTATCCGATATGTGATAAGTACATATGATACGATTCGAGATGGATCGCCAACGATACGTATCAAAGAGTGCCCATGAATGGAGGATTACCCCATCTTATAAAACATTGGCTTGGAGTGCCCAGTCGAGATGGATCTCCAACACTCCCCTTTACGGTCAAGCCCATATGGTCCACTGCTATGAATGGAGGTAGTTTGGCAGCCCACCGCTGGTCAATCACTCAGCTCAAATGGGGCTGCTCTGATACCACTTGTAGGTTTGGGCCTAACTCCTCACCTAAAGGCCTGTTAAGTGAGAGGATTGTCCACCCTGGTTGTTAGTATCCTACGATAGCGAACGTATCAATGATACGATTCGATATGGGTCGCAACGTACGTATCAGAGAGTGTATCCTAAACCATTTGATACGTTGATAGTATCTACGATAACAATACATATCGTTTGTATCCTTAAAATATCGATACAAATCGATATGACTTTATTAATTTGAGTCAAAGGTCCAAAAAAAATTTCAAACCGAATCTGGGTCACCAACCCGGTTACTACAACCTGCCCAGATTTACCCATTATACATAGAGAAAGTGAAAAGGAAGATTTGTTGCCCATTTTGCATGATAATATAACATAAGTGGAGTTATAGATATTGACATGATCTTGAAAATGATATGATGGTTGAGAGGAATTATATAAATTCTAATTTTGATTATGTAATACCATAATTTAAAGTCAATAATACTAAAAATTTGTTAATTAATCGTGGGGATGATATTAATTTTTAGAAAAATCTTATTAATTTTTTTGAAAAAGGTGTATCCTGCGATACGATACCCGATTCGAAAAATTAGGTTTTCGATACACGATTTGACAACCATGTTGCCCACTCTTATAAACCCATTGGCTTGAGCGTGCCTAGCGATATGGGATCTCCAACAAGAACCAAATAAGATGACTTCCTGGAGCATATTGTCAGATGACAAAATCATTAGATAATATTGTAAGATGACAAAATGTAGGACAATATTGTAACAATTTGAATGTCTTGGAGTACATAGTAAGCCGTAATGGGAGATGATTGATATCAAACCTCATGTAACCGATATGCCACACTGCGACTCAATGCATGAGACTCAATCCATGTGAGAATGTTCAAATTGGATTAATATTTGTCATATGCCATCTTTTTCCATAATTGGACAAAGTACTCTATATACAGGTTAAAATTGGCAGAAATTTACCTCCAAATCTTTTGAGTAGAACGCGCGTTAATGCAGCAGGATCCGATCGTAGCATGAGTTCAAAACCTTAATTCATGAGATGTTGCTATAAATCCAAACCACTCAGGTGCATCGGGAAATATAACAAGTTTATGAATCAAACAATGTTATGTATGTGGGGCTGATAGTAAAAAAGTTCATAGACCAACCACATGCACAGGGGTGCATTTGGATGGTAGTACCAAATTGATGAAAAGAAATAGAGGCAACGAAAGCAGACACAACACACAGAGGAGAGACACCAGGCAACCGGTGCGAACTCCCCTCAAACCACAAAAACAAATTTTTTATTAAGATTGTGTTATCTGCCATGCAAGCGCACCTGTCATGGCAAAGGTCGGATGACAAAACAGAAATCAACCCCCTTAAAAGGGCTTCTTTATCCAGTACATCTCTTGCGTCCATATCACAGCTTCATCCC